AAGTAAATCAGTAATATGAGATGAAATCGCCATCTGCCCTGTGACCCAAGGGCACTCGGGGCAATGTGGTTGGGTAGTCAACGCGTCAAGCTCACATGCTGCATATCAAAAGTTCGATTCCCGCTGGCGGTGTTGATAAGACCTATGCGAGGTCGAAACTGAAGTCCATCTCAGCCTGAATGAGAACAACTTTTGGGAAAACAAGGCTATGTGAAATTCAATGTAAACGTCCGCTCTACTCATATCATTGTGGGAAAGTTCTACTACCAGTCCTTCATCACCTTAAACGAAATAGGGTGAATACATCTCATTATACCTAAATCTGACTGGTGACGACTTGGAGGAGGCTCATGAAGACCTGTACTTTTGCTAAATGGGATATGTCATTCTTCGCTTTGCTGGCTTTGGATCTCGGTGGTGGATGATGTCATCCACTTTGGTCTACACATTGACCCAAGAGATGTACCTCTTTTTTCTAGAGGCACGTCATCCCCTCTGGCTCAAGAGTGTGTGGAAGAGGATTCATTTTTAGGCAGGACAACGAGTCTGAACATGCATTGAAGGTAAGCCAGACCCATTTGCAGTCGAAAGGGAGAAAGGAGTGCATTCCTCCCTGCACAGTCACTGGACCTCAGCCACAATGAACATGTTTGGGGGAATTCGAAAATGGAAAAGATGTAGCAGATTTCATCACTACAAGACACTCTCTGGGACTTTATAAAAGTGTACTGGAATAACATAGATTCTCAAATAATGTACAAACTTGTACAATCGACGCTAGATAGAGTGCAAGTGGTGATTCAGGCAAAAGGTCATTATAACAAACATAGAGATATTTTGGCTGGCAGTATATACAATAAACGTTTGATGACTTACATATTAGTGCACAATTATGTAATTCTGTTTGAAAATTGTTAAGCGAGCAAAGGTTTGTTTTAGTTTTCCATAAATACTGAAATAAGCAAGGTTTTTAGGGGTGGACTCAAAGGTTAAACCCTATTGTACCTCCCGGACTGTATATTTTATAGTCCGACCGGCATTGAAACCATCGCTAGCACCGTTGGGCAATAAACGAATTGCGACCAAGCGAGCACTTTCCAATTGAAAGACAGTGTTGCACGGACAAGCTGTACATCCTATCCTCATCACGTAAGCTGTAGTTGCGTGGCTGCAATTTACCTCCCGTGGGGAGTGTGGGAACTGGACGCTGCCCATAGCCTTGCATCCACACACAAAAGTCCAAAACTTGCACGAATACATGAAATGAGAGCAAAGGAATCATCGCCTTTACAGCGGATAACACGGCTAGTTGGCGTGTTTTCTGTAAAAAAAAGCAGCGCCATTATAGACAATATTTGCAGACAAAAACCTCATGTTCATCGACAAAGGGTGAAACTAGGCATTACGAGCGGCATAGCAGGGCAACCTTTCCGGAAAATCGTCTAAGGCGATCGCAAGTGTACACTTGGCTTGGAGTCCGAAAGCTGGTCTAAGGTTGGCTCGTCTGTGATCACTCAAGCCGAGAAGATCGGATCCCGGCTGGGTTGCCTCAAGTCGCCAACGCACACTCAGCACCGCCGACGAGGCCGAGACCAATCATGGTCAAAGGCAAGCCGAAGTGACGAAGAAGAAGAGACGAACACTACGACGACGACGACGACAAAGAAGAAGAAGACGATAAGGAAAAGGAAGAGCACGAAGCAGAAGAAGAAGAAGAAGAAGAAGAAGAAGAAGAAGGAGAGGATGACACCAACCCTTCTGCTCTGCACAGATAACGGACTTCCAGTTTTATTCTAAGCTAAGCCGCTTCATGCAGTTTGTGAGGCAGTGGAATAGTGAAAGCAGCAGCTCGCTGACCTGCCCATCCATTCGATGGCTTGTTCCCTTTTTATGACTTGGCAGATGTGCCCGTTAGCAAGAAGAGATTCAGTATCCAACCGAAAGAATGTGTTCATCCACATTACAGTATACCTGTCTTAAGTGTTTTTTAACCATCATTATGGTTATTGCCGGTCTCCAGCCTCTGTACATGTGTCTTTACAATTACAGGCCGAGGTTAGTTCTCTAATTTGACAGATAGCTTCGGAGAGAGAGCGATAGGCACTTGCTACTTGTTTCACAGGCAGACATAAGGAGGATATGAGACGCTTTTTCTTTACACAATTGCCGATAACAAAAAGCGGTCAAGACCACATACCATCTCGACCAGCTGCCTTGAGGTAAACAGGAAAATTTATTTAAAATCCCTCGTGAGTATGCCTCGAAATTACCGGTCATTCTGCAATTGTAACTTAGTTACCCTGCCTAGCGAAAGGGGAGTTTTTCATACAATGGCATATGAATAATGCTACCATGTGGAGAGGGAGCGGGACTAGTCTCGATGAAAATAAGTACTGTCGCAAATGCCTCATGGACAATCACATTAGAAAAATGTCATTTCGGAGAGGCCTGGCTTGCCTCGAGAGTCACATCTGCTCTGTGACAGACTAGCACCCGAGGCGTTATAATGGAATGGTGATGTGTCTGTCGGCGTAATACTCACGACGCGATTTCGAGTCCCCTTTGGGGCACTGATGAGACGATGAGGCAAGGTCAAGAGTGCAATCAAGGCTGGATGAGAACAGTCTTTGTGGGTCAAGGCTAAGTGAAATTCGATGGCATTGCGAGGTCTACTCAGTTCATTATGTGAGAAGCTCCATCATCACTTATTTTTCATGTAGGGCAAATTTTCGAGCTACCAGTAAATCAGATTTATGAGATGTTCTCACTCTATTCAGTTTAAGGTAACGAAGAACTGGTAGATGAATTAC